ACCTCTCCCTCTACCTCTATCTACCTCTACCTCTATCTCTATCTCTACCTCTATGTATCTCTATCTCTATCTCTATCTCTGTCTCTGTCTCTGTCTATCTCTATCTCTATCTCTATCTCTATCTATCTCCCTATCTCTATCTTCTCTTTCTGTCTCTATCTCTATCTCTGTCTCCATGCATCACAATGCCATCTATATAAGGTAAGCGTGCGCACACACACACACACACACACACACAGTGCATGTTTTACAAACATTAACAGGGACAAAGGGTACTCAGATGCATTTTAAGCAGGTGCCAATGAAGTGGGGCGGCCGGGGGGTGGGGGTGGGGGAATGGATAGAGAATAAGTTTGAAAAAGAAAACCCACCACAAATAAAACAAGAGAGGCCGTCATCCAGCAGGGACGGTGTGCTATGAGCTGAGCAGATCCTAAATCCTGGTCCGGAAGGTTGAAATGAATAAGGTGAGTAAGATGATATAAAAACGAGCGGCCTTTGGGCCTTTCATGGGCTGTGGGAGGTGGTGGCAGGGGAGTGTGGCCCTGGGCCCAGTGCTGGCGTCCTTCTCGGGCTGTGCTGCAGGCCGTCAGGAAACTGCGTGGGGTGGCGGCCGCGGTCACCCGAGTGAGTGTTTGGAGGAGAGAGAACACCATCAGCACAGGCGCTTGGCTCCTGACCGGACGACCTGCCGCGTGTCTCAAGCTTCACCCCACTCCCAGCTCAGGGGCTCTGAGAGGCTGGAACCCAGCAAAGCGACTGTGCTGGTTTCATTGGTGCGGCTGCTTCCCACGTGACGCTGTAGAAACCGAAGGACAGGGCCGCCATGTGGAGTGACAGCTCCACCGGGACACACCGTTCTCCCGGGTGTCCAGCACCCTTTCAGTGTGGCCAGGCATCGCCGCCTGCCTGTGGCCCTGGGTCACTGCTGTCATCTTTATCGTAAACATTTCCCAGGTGACCTCAGTGTTGCTCCTGGGATCACGTGTGGACAGGCCTCTTCCACCTGTGGCCCCGGCAGCATCGTTATGGCCACTGACCCTGCGCTGTCCTGGCTCTGGGCTGCTGTGACCGGCGGAGAGGCCAGGGTGGTGCCTGGCGGTGGCGCACACAGCAGAGTTTCCGGTGGGCCACACCGGTGGGCTGGTATTTTTTAATGTGATGTATTTCTTTGTCGCCGTCTGCCCTGCCTAGGTCTTCGAGGACACTGGTTAGGTCTCCTTCCTACTTAGCCCTCTGCACAAAGTAGGCATCTGATTTTTAGCTTTTCTACCGCAGTGCTGAGGGAAACCAGAATAGGTCACCCAAAATAGGCTTTGGACGTGATGGCTATTCTGAGCTGAAGGTCATGAAAGCAGCCCCTCCCCCTTTCTGTCAGAGGCCGGGGGTGGGGGTGGGGTTGCAGGGAAAGTCTCCTTTTCCTGGGGACAGAGCTGAGCTCAGAGGCAAGTCCCGGGAACCACAGACGAGCTCGGGGAACCACAGACCAACCCAGGAACCCACAGACGAGCCCCGGGAACCACAGACCAACCCAGGAACCCACAGACAAGCCCCGGGAACCACAAACGGTCCCCAGGAACCAATAGACGGGCCTCAGGAACCCACAAATGGTCCCCGGGAACCACAGACCAACCCAGGAACCCACAGACGAGCCCGGGGAACCCACAGATGGTCCCCAGGAACCCACAGATGGTCCCCAGGAACCACAGACGGTCCCCACTAACCCACAGAGGAGCCCTGGAAACTGCAGACAAGCCTTCCTCAGAGTCCCTCCCACAGTCTGCGTCCTGGAAACGGAAGCTGTGTCCTCTGCCTGCCAATGCGCTACAAATGACCTTTCCCACTGCAGGTGCTTTGAGTTACTTTTCATTGAGATTTTTTGTCACATGACATGGGCTACACGTGTTAATAAACCACCTGATTTTGTCTTGTTAGTGCCCAGCTGAGAGCCTGGGGTGGGTAGAGAACAGTTTTGCGTCCCCCCCCACCCCCCAGCGTCCTTCTGAGATGAAAGGTGCCGGCAGGGCAGCAGAAGAATCTCACTCTTTGAGAATCCCCTAGGCACCAAGGCTGAGTAAAGCTGCTCCCTGCTCAGAGGTTTGCTGAGCGCATGCTCCGCCCAGTCCTGCTGGGGTTGCAGTCACACCGAGGGCGGCCTGGCCTCTCCCTGCAGGGCGGCGGGCGGCTGGGCACAGAGATGGAGTGTGCAGACATTTTGCCAGGAAAGGAAGGCAGGGAGTGGGCGGGGCTTTGCTCGCCCTGTGGTCATGTGGGCGGAGCTGGTCAGGCAGCGGGAGCCCTGGGCCAAGTCCCTATGGAAGGGGAACCCAGCCTAGTCATTGCAGGCCCGCAGGACAGGCCTGGGCAGCCACACAGGCGGCCGGGCCTGAGGGCCTTCACCCTGAGGGACAGGAAACCCAGCGGGGCTCTAGCAGAGGGAGCGTGCCATCTGCCCCACGTTAGAGGTGATTCGGGGTGCTCTGTTTGGGTGCCATGTAGCGATGGTTAGGAAATGGACCCTAAACCGTGGGAGGCACACAGGACCCCGGATGCTCCTCCGGGGCTGGCGTGGCTTCCCGTGGCGTGGCACGGGCAGTGTCTGCGGAGCGGGCCTTCCCCGGAGCTCACAGTGAGGGCCCCATTGAACCCATAACCCAGCAGATGTCCCCTCACACTTCTGTGTCCCACGGTCCCTGCACACCCAGCTTCTCCAGCCCTGCGGCCTGGTTCTAACACCTCGCCGGTTCCCTTTGTAACCACATGCTCACTGCCTGCCCGAGAGTCACAGCCTGACCAGTGGGAGCGGCCACAGTGGGTGGGCGGGGGGGTTGGGTATGAACCAGAGGTTCCGAGGATGAGGCCGGGCTGAGTCCCCCAGGGAGAGCGCCAGGGACAGGTGGACTTGACAACCAGGACACGGGCGGCGTCCGCGAGCCAGCCCTGTGCAGAGCGCATTCTCTCATTCCGTTGCCACAGCCACCCTTGCGGGTAAACACGTCTCTTACTAATATTCATCCCATTGTGCAGCGGAGGAAACTGAGGCGGGACCCAGGCCAGACCAGGATGGGAACTCAGGCAGTTGTCACTGTCAACCAGCCGACCTCGACTGGGGGGCACCGGGCAGTGACCGAGACGTCTGTGACTGTCACACTGAGGGAGGTGCTCTGACCCCAGTGAGCAGAGGCCAGGACTGCTGACCACGACAGCGCCAGGGCGTCCCCACAGCAGAGGCTCCGGCCTCAGACGCCGATGGCAGACACTGCCCTCAACAGGTGCTGCCACCTCCAGACTAATCAGCCCCCCCGCCCCCCGGTTTCTCCTGCCCCCCCTCCTGCAATTGCTCACTCAGCCCCCAGGCTCAGGTGCCCTCTGTGCCTCCCCACCCACTGCACCCTCAGTCTCATGGGTGGCGGATAATAACTGCTCAGGAAACAGATGCCCAAGGCGCACGGTGTCTGATCTGTCTGCACCTGGGACAGTGTGAGGGAGTGTGACAGGGAGGGGCTGCGACAGGGTGGCCGCCGCAGACGGTATGACAGCCTAGCACTGTGCACTGCGGAGAAAGGGCGTCACCAATAGCGCAGGAAAGGAGAGCGCGCGGCCCTGAGGGCAGCGGAGCTGGGGCTGGGAGGGAGCTCCTGCTTCCTTGCCCCAGGAGCGGACCAGCCTGTTGCAGCAGCACCACCAGACCAAGTGAGGTTTCCAGTGCGCTCCAGCCCATGGCTCCCTGTTCCAGGGGACGCCTATTAATTCAGTGAGTCTGCTGGGCAGGGCCCAGGAGGCTGGCAGGGAGGGGCTGCTGGAAAGCTGGCATCTGTGGGCGTCAGGAGAAGGTGGAGCAATGAGCAGTGCTCCTTCTCCCCCAGCCAAGCAGTGCCAGCGCCGCGGGTCTCAGTCCCGGACCAGCGATGGGTGCACACGCAGGGCCCACTCCCGGGGAGAGGCTGCAAGAGTCAGGCCTGGGGACAGGAGGCGAGAGGGGGATCAGTCCCGGGCGGGACACGTGCAGGGAGCCCTTCGCCTGAGGCGCTTACACAACTTTACAGTCCCTGAAGGAGGAAGGTTGGACTCCCCACTCCGCCCATGGCGTCCTACAGGAGCTCCTCTGCGGACAGGGGCAGGGGTGACCGTGGGCGTCACCGCCAGAGAAGCCCCACTCAGACCAGCAGAACCCTGGCTCACTCCTCCAGCCCTGAGCCGGGAGCCGCCAGGAGCTGCCCACAGCGCGGGGACTCTGCAGGGGCAGAGCTCTGGAGACATCTGGGCTGGCGTTTGCCGAGTCTGAGGAGGAATCCCTCTTGGCTCCCAGGGCCATTTATAGACTTCCAGGGCTCTCTGAGTGAGGGGACCTGTGCCAATCGAACGCCCGCCCCTTCCCCCAGTTCCCGCCCATATTCTCAGCAGAGTTTAATGACACATACGTGGGCCCCGGAAGTTTCCACGCCTCCAGGCTCCTTGAACTTTGGGACAAAATGAAACTGATATTCAGGCCACTTCGCTTTGATAGATGCTACTCAGTTGTTTTGATTAAAAACAAATCCACCTGCAGTAGATGTTAATAATAACAGGATCATCTGTGTCAAAACGTCCCCCCAATGGCACGCTGTTCCCTCACCCTCTGGGGGAGTTGGCTCATGAAACAGCGGGTACAGGGCTGCTCCAGAATGACACTCCAAGAATGGGGCGTCAGAAACAAAAAGTGCCATTACGTGGGCTGTTTGGAAAGGTGGAGTCAGTGCGCCCCCTGCTGGACACCTGTGGTCGACACCACGGCCCTTTGGGAGGAGCGCAGCCAGGTACCTGGTGAGGGTGAGAGATGGAGGACTGCAGGCTGGTGTCCCCGCCAGGACACCCAGATAAAACATGGGAAACAGGTAATTACCTTTTTCTCAGACATTTACGTTAGCAGTAAAACACGCCAGGGCCCGGGGAGACCATGCACATTCAGCAACCATTCACCTCGTCATTGCTATTTTCTAACGTAATTGAGGGGAGCAAACCTCATCCGCGGGTCATCGGGTGGCGTCATCTCCAGGTCGTGGGTGGGCCCGTTTAAGCCGATGACGTGCAGGGAGATGCTGGGGTTCTCACACCCGGCCTGGGGGGACAAGAGGACGGAAGGTGAGGCCACCGCGGCCTGACTGGAGCCCTGGAGCTGGCCTGGGGAGTCTTCCCAGGGCACAGGCCCCAGGGCCTGCAGCTCAGAGCTCAGGAGCAAAGCTTGCTGGGGGCAGGCTGCTCCTGTGTGAGCCGACCGCTTCTCCTCGCAACTGGAAGCCTGCCCTCTCCTCACTGAGCCCAGCCCTCCCCGCCACCTGTCATCACCAGGCCAGCACCACTCCATTGGCTGAGCCCCTGGGAGTGGGAAACAAATAGATAAGGAGGAGAGAAAATTCTGGAAGTGGAGACGATGGTGATGACGGCGTGGCCCAGCGGTGGGAAAACGAAGTCCTTTGAAAGGAACAGAACCTCCTCCCTCTGAACCCCCACTCCCTCTGTCCAGGGGCCAGTGGCACCAGCAGGAAGGGGAAGGGGACTATGTGGTGTTGCGCCATCTGCAGGGCTATGGGTGGGACTGAGGGAGAAGCTCAGGTGGAGGAGGAGACCCGCCCCCCAAAAGGGCAGAGTCCGGTGGGTGGACCAGCTCATGGCTCTGATTTGGCAGAAGCATCATGGGGCAAAGAGCGGCTGAGTTCTGTGGCCAGAATATGGTAACTTTCCATTAAAATATGAAATCTCAAACCCTCAGTGATCTGGGGTTTTATCAATCTGACTTCTGAGCACCTGTCCCAGAGGTCACTGTAAGGTCAAGGTCCTCACTGTAATATCAAGGCCCTCCCTGTAAGGTCAACGTCCTCACTGTAAGGTCAAGGCCCTCACTGTAAGGTCAAGGTCCTCCCTGTAAGACCTAGGTCTTCACTGTAATATCAAAGTCCTCACTGTAAGACCAAGGTCCTCCCTATAAGACCTAGGTCCTCACTGTAATATCAAGGTCCTCACTGTAAGACCAATGCCCTCACTGTAAGACCAAGGTCCTCACTCCTAGATTAGGGCTTCATCTGGTAAACCACTCCAGCTGTGGGTGGACAGATGAAGGTCAGACAGCTGGGCTGTAGAGTGTGTGTGTGTATGTGTGTGTGTGTGTGTTGAGAGGCTTGGCATCATCCAGCACACTTACTTAGCTGTATCTGGCTGTCACCCTGGCCTTTCCACGGGTTTGGTGGATGACAAGCCAGAGCTGGAGTAAAGGAATTCTGTCAAAAGGCACATCCCTGTCACGCGCTGACACCCAGGTGCCCTTGGGACAGGAACATGGCAGAGACAAAGCTCTGGCCCGGGACCCACGGGTCTCTACCTGGGACCTCGCTACACAGTGGCCCCATTTTGGAAGAGCCTCAGGAATGGGTCTGTGTACCAGCTGCTATGGACGGAGTGTCTGTGTTCTTCCCGAATGAAAATGCGAGGCCCCGGCCCCCATGGGAGGGGGTCTGCAGGTGGGGCCTTTGGGAGGTACCTGGAGTTAGATGAGGTCATGAGGTGGGGACCCATGATGGGGTTTGTGTCCTTAGAAGGAGAGAGACACCAGAGTGCTCTCTCTGCCACATGAGGACACAGGAGGGGGTGGCTGGCTGGAAACTGGAAGAGATTCCCAGCAGAACCCACTGCATTGGCAGCTGCCTTAGACCCGCAGCCTGTAGCCCATGAGGAACTGTGTCTGTTGAATGTCATGTTTGTTACTGCTGCTGAGCTGACTGACGTGCACCACCTATCCTCCCTCCTGCTGCAAACTCCCCACTGCATGTCGGGGGTGTCTTGTTTACAGACATGTGGCTGCAGCTCTCGAGCCCTCTGATGGCGTGGGAAGCTGGGGCTCAGTACTAGCTGGGCCAGGCAGGAAGTGAGCGCTGTCGCCAGGTGGGTGCAGGGGTTTGGGGTAGTCTAGTGCAGCCAGCCCATTGTGGACCCAGGGGCTGGCAGACAGGTCCCTCTTACCTCCCAGAACCAGATCCTAAAAAGGGAGCGAGGGGGGAGTGTCTGCAGTGGGCAGTGTGAGGGTTTGTTACCTGGAATGAAGCTTAGACACAAGGTTAACAGCAGTTCAATTATTTAAAACTAGAGGCCCGGTGCACAAAAATATGTGCATTCGGCGGGAGATGGGGGGTCCCTCAGCCCGGCCTGTGCCCTCTAGCAGTCTGGGACCCCCCAGGAGATAATGACCTGCTGGCTTAGGCCTGCTCCCGGGTGGCAGAGGGCAAGCCCAATCCCTAGGTGCAGCCCCTGGTCGGGCTCAGAGCAGGGCCGATTGGGGAGTTGGGGCGCTGCCCCCTGTCAGCACAGAGCAAGGGCCAATCTGGGGGCTGGGGCGCTGCCCCCTGTCACACACAGAGCAGGGCCCATCAGGGGGGGTGGGGCTCCTTCCCCTGTCATGCACAGAGCAGGGCCCATCAGGGGGTTGAGGAGCTCCCCCATGTCACTCACAGAGTAGGGCCGATAGGGGAGTTGGGGCACTGCCCCCATCACACACAGAGCAGGGCGGATCAGAAGGTTGGGGTGCTACACCCTGTCACCCACAGCGCAGGGCC